TGCATGAGTGGGTGGAACAACTTGTTGATATTTTTCCCTGCCCCTCCCCCTAAAATCAATAAAAAATAAATTTAGAAAGTGCTCATGCATTTTGCTGTTAAGAAACCAGGTTTGGTGAGTTAAGTAACCGGCTAAGGTAGCACAGCTAGTTAGTTGTGGGGCAGGAATTCAACCTCCACCCACCTGTCTGATGCAAAGTCTGAGGTTTTTAACTCATGATCTGCTGAGCACCAGCCCACAGCTTTAGGATTATCCATGAACCTCTCTGAACTCATTTTCTCAAGGAAAAGCACAAATGGTCAGAATCTTTGCCTCAACTACCTACTGGGCTGTTAAATATGACATGTGAAGGGTTTATATAAAGCATTTCATACCTTGCCGGTACATTCTAGAAGTATTCAGGAATGACCATATGTGCACATAACATTCTATAAATATCTGTCCAATGCAGAAACTCAGATGTTTGAATCTTCAAAAGTGCAGTTATAGTAATTAAATCAGATGCCTCCGTTTTATTCCTCATGGCTCAAAAATCCAGTTATTTTAATATTGGGGGACACAAAAAGTTACTTTTTAAAAAATGTTATTTCAGCTGAGAGCTCGAGTACATTTTTCCCTGGCATGTCTTTTCTGTGAGGTGCCACGTAATGGGACTTTCCTTGAACTCATGAAACAAGATGGCAGAGGAGAAATTTTTCACTTTGAGTCTTTTTTATCAGGTAGCTTTATTTGTCACTGACTTAAAAAAGCTCCAAAGTGTAATCCCCTCTAGCTTTTAATATTATCAAAGATTGGGTCCAAGCCTGGTTTACTCCTGCATGTGCTTCACAATGTATTTAAAAGTGTATCAGCACTCAAGTCATCCAGCTCAAGGTTCGCACAGCACTCTGCCTTCTTTGAATAAAGGGAAGTTGTTCCTCACTGAGAGATCTGCTCCACTACAACTCTGCTGCACAAAGCACTTCTGTTTCACTCATGACAGCTCCATGCCTCTCCAGGTACAAGTTACACTGTGCAGTAACCTGCAACGCTCTTCATTACCAATTTCCAACGCTGGTATCTTGGTAACTCCATATTCTTCACCTCTATCGGGAAGGACCCTAAGATTTTCAAAAAAGTAGTTTTCCGGTTTCTTACAAAACTGAAGATGTTCTTACCATATGACCCAGCAAATTATGTTCCTTAGAACTTACCCAAATAAACTGAAACCTAATATTCATACTAAAACCTGCACAGATGTTTACAGTAGCTTTCTCATAATTGATAAAACTTGGAAACAATCAAGATGTCCTTAAGTAGGTGAATGGATAAATTGTGGTACATTCAGGTGATAGAATATCATTTGGCACTAAAATAAATGAGCTATCAAGCCATGAAAGGACATAGAGGAACCTTAAATGTATATGACCAAGTGAAAGAAGTCAGTTCGAAAAGGTTACATACTGTATAATTCCAATGATAAGACATTTTGGAAAAGGCAAAACTATGGGTACAGTAAAAAGATCAGAGGTTGCCTGGGGTTGAGGGGAGGGATGAATAGGCAGAAGGAGAGATTTTTAGGGCAGTGAAATTACTCTGTATGACACCTTAATGGAGGATACAAGTCATCATACATTTGTTCAAACCCACTGAATGTACACCAGCAAGCGTGACCCTAAAGTAAGCTATAGACTTTGGGTAGTAATGATGTGTCATCAAATCACCCAGGTGACTCAGCCCCTTACAGCCCAGATTTGGCACCCTGCCACTTCTGGCTTTTCCCAAAACTAAAATCCCCCTTGACCAGCAGTGTAATTCAGGAAAATACGATGGAGCAGCTGATGGCAATTGGGAGAACTGTGTGAGGTTCCAAGGTGCCTACTTTAAAGGGGACTGAGGTATCATCGTCTTATGTACAATCTTTATCTTGTATCTTTTTCAATGTCTGTTTTTCATATTATATGACTGGCTACATTCTAGACAGACCTTGTATACCATTCTGGTAGGTTATGTTGATGGGGGAAACTATGTATGTGTGGGAGAACCAGCAGGGTATATGGGAAATCTCTACCTTCCTCTCAGTTTTGCTGTGAATCTAAAACTGCTCTAAAAATATAGTCTGTGTTTTTTAAAAGGTAGTTTTACCTTTCATTTTAAAAAACTAATGAAGGCCGCCCTGGCTGGCGTAGCTCAGTGGATTGAGCGCGGGCTAGGAACTAAAGTGTCCCAGTTTCGATTCCCAGCCAGGGTACATTCCTGGGTTGCAGGCCATAATCCCCAGCAACTGATGTTTCTCTCTCTCTCTCTCTCTCTCTCTCTCTCTCTCTCTCTCCCTTCCCTCCCCTAAAAATGGATGAATAAAATCTTTAAAAAAAAGATAATTTGTTAAAAAAAATAAAAAAATAAAAACTAAAAAACTAATGAAGGCCACACAGTCCTTGCAGAAGTTACTACAAAAATCAAATACCAAGTGGCTGGGAAGCATTGTTTTAAGTCCCTTTAAAGGCATATTCTCACAAATGTTAATCCTTCGTGTACACTTGGATTTAGGTTGAAAGAACACATCAGATTTTACATAATCATACAGGCATGTGAGTCATATACAAATGTGTTCTTGCACATAATTATAAAGCTATTAGTTTATTCTATGCAAACATATATGCTAAACTCAAATTTGTCATCTTCAAAAGACACCTCTGCTCCTGCTATGAGTGTTTAGAATGCCCAAGTTTTAAATTTCCGCTTTTCCCAAGTCCCTCTTTAGTTCCAACTCACATACTATTTTTGTGAAAATCCAACTTTCCCCCTGCATTTTTGGAAGATAACGTCTCTCAACAAGCCCATGAAAACCACCAGCAATGATGTACTAATTAGTTTATGCGAATAACTTGATGGGTCCTCTGGATTTATATTTCTTTCTTTTCCTTTATTTTTTTAAATGTCTCAGTCCATGCATTTTTTTAAATTACTGGACTAAGAATTGACAGTGTTGAAAAAATGCTGAGTACAAAAATTTCTAGAGCGGATTTTCTTAGCCCAAGATCCTTCTTTGTGGATTACCATAATCCCACAGTATTTTGAAAGTAGGTGGTTTTTCCCTTTACCAAATATAAAAATAAAGTACTAAATAAAACCACACATGGCCCCACCGATTTTTATGCTGCTAACTCCCAGAGTCTGATACCATCAGCCCCCACCACTGCCACTCTACAAAGAGCTACTGTCCCAAGGTGAGCCGGAACATACACCAGGAAAAGCTCCCCTTCCTCAGCTTTACTCTATACCCTCCAACAGCTCGGTTGCCGGGGGTCCCAACGGAAGGCCTGGAGAGCCATCCCCAGGTTCTGGTAAACACCTTTGATGACAACAATCATACAAACACCCTCTGCACAAAGGTGAATTGCTTAATGTTTTTTTATTACATGTTACATCAAAAGTACAAAAGTTGCCTGGGTACAAACAAGTTATAGGATAATGCTTATGAAACTACAGTGGACTACATGTGACAATTCTGTTTAGTTTATATTTTGGTCATTTTTATCAGGATCCAAAATGCTAAACTCCAGCATTTTTTCTTAATCTAGTGCTGCATGATTGCAATTCCTGAGGTAAACTTAGTGTCCGCTGCCAACATCTTTGGATGTAAACCAAGTCCTCTGAGAAAAATTCAGATATTTATATTCCCATATACAATAGGGTTAGTAATTATAATCAGATACTACAGATTTCATTTGAAAATGAAAATAAGCCCTCGGAATAGTTCTCTCTCTCATATATGTATTGTAATTTTAGCCCACCAACAGGGCTTCTCAAAACCCTCTGACTTGTGAAGTATGGTTAAGGGGATCTCTTCACTATAGCCCATCACCATCCCTATGGGCAGAGTCTAAGCTAAATGTTGTCAGCATTCTGGCACCCATGCAGTTGTGTTCTGAATACACCTAGGGCTTCTGCCACTCAGGTGCCTACCATTAACAGTCAGTTTTCAGTGAAATCAGTCTATAGACTCTACATTTAAAAAATACCTTAGTAAGTATCAAAATAGCACGTGAGAGATAACACTACAATGGCTCTTACTATTTTTCTATCTCAAGAATAAAAATGGACATTTAATAACTTTCAGAGCCCAAAGAATCAGGGGGTTGGCCCTTTCATAGCTCTTCTTATAATTGCATAACTGAAGGCCACATGGAGGTTAAACAATGCCAACTTTTAAAAGGTACTTTCTAGCATTCTCCTAAAGCTTGTCTCTTCATGCTGATTCCACATTCTTTGTGCAGTAAAATAAACTCTTTGTTTTACTTACATCAAAATTAAAAGAATTAATTCCCCCTCTACATTTTAATTAAATCTTCCAGTAGAAGCCAAAATGATCTAAGGAAAGAAAAAGTACATTGTTACCTAGTTTCGAAGTTCAATTTTAGGTAGTAATTCAGATACTTTAATCATAAATGGTTATCTGAAAAATAGCAAATTATAAAGAAAAGGCTAACTTTATAGAAATTTTAGTTTTTTTCTGGCTTTGATCTTTTTTTTAAAAACATGAATTTTTCTACAAACCTACTTAATTCCAGCCTGAAGTAAATTTAATTAATGTACCATGCTAACGAGCAGATGATATGGCTATAAGGATCTGGATTATTTTTGGAAGAATGTATAGTGTACTACAAAACCCTTTCACTTCTCATAAATATAAGGACCTTTAAAATACTTCCTAAAAACTATATTTTCTTTCAAGTCAAATCCAAAAAGCTAGATGAGAGAGTTCGCTTTTATTCACAAATGCAGTAAAATATGAAAGACTAAATATTTTGCAGAAACTCAAATTTCTACAAAGTATAAATATTAGTGATGCAGTTTGGTAACAAGAAAATAAATAAGTTATTTAATACATACAATTTTAAGATAAAAGATGCCTCAAATGGAAATATCATCTCTTCACAGTTTGAGAAATATGAAGATTTTCATTATTAGTATTTTTCCCCTTCTCTTTGCTTAGGTGGCCATCTGAAATTAATAGAAATGAATGTCAATGCTTATCCCAAAATAGGCAGTAGGCAGTCATAGCTATATATATTTCAGGATGTTAATATTTAATATTATATGAGTTTTTTAGATGGTTTTGGACAATGAAAAAACAAATTTTTAAACACTATTAAAAAACATCAGAAATGTTTAGTACTAGGGACTCTAATTATTCAAAAATTTTTCTTGACTTTTTTTTTAATAGAGTACCCCCTGGAGTGAACCCATAGGTAAGCACTACAAACTTCTCTTACATGCAACAAATGGAATTCACAAGAAAGGACAGGGTGTTTAATTAGCATTTTGAGGAATGTCAGAGCTCTTCAATTAAAATTAAAAAACTCCACCCAACTTTCTTCAAACAGAAATGCCTCCCAGCCACACCCTCTTGTGGCAAGAAGAAAACTAGCACAGTTTACATTTTCCTGCCCAAATCAGAAACTATCCAAGAAATTGTAGAAAAAGTTCCTTAGCCAAAAACAAAACAATCAAGTTCCATGAGAGTTAAGGAGCCCACAGCCCCTGTGACCACCCACTGTGCACCCACAATAATAAACAAGGGGCCCTAGTCACTTCTGCTCAATCTCTTCTGTCATGTGGGGGAAAAGGAAAGAGGCAGAAGTGTTCTAGATTAAAAGAACCTGAAGAAACTTAGTATCTAATGTGACAACAATGAAATGCACAAACTTAATTCCTAAGAAAATGTGAACCACTTAATACAACTGAAAAAATAACCGTTTTTAATATTTTTTATAACATGAGAAAAATACAAATTTAGACAAGTTGTTAGAAACATGTAATTTTAGCACCAAAAACACATACTGGATTTTCTAATTCTGAAGACAATTTGATTATACACATAGTATTATTAATTCAGAGCTGGTCAGCCTCAGAAATAATGTAATTACTACTACAGGTCTGGTTCACACATGAAAAACAATCTCCCTCAATTTTAGGCAGCTTTACTGGACAAAAGAAAATTAACAGTATCTTTAGGACAACCATTTTAGGTTTTCTAGAAAAGCATTATTAAAAAATGAAGTATGTTATTGACGTACTTCTTCACATGTGTGCATAAAGTTGAGCTAATAATTATTTTGTATATTATAAAGTATCTGGTCTTTTATCTATAGCAAAAACTACTTTGCCTCTAATACAACAAACACTGATAGCAGCAGCATAGATGAAGTGGCTACTATTTCAAAGGTAAATGTGTCTATATACACTCTCTTCATTTTTTTCAGCACTTTGAAAAAAGAAGTGCTTTCATGTTGGCATGCTTTGGGCTTGTTTTCAAATAAAAGAGAATTTAAGTTTACTGTTTTACATTTCAGCTGGATGAGCTTATGTAGAGATAAGGTACTGTTATCTGAAGAATAATTATTTTAACATCTTCATAACCTTGTCAATGTTGTGAAATAAAACTTATGTGTCCTTCAAACAGTAAGCTAGAGTTGAAAAAGGAAATGGAATGCTTAAATATATTACTAGAACATAATGCAGTTTTTGGCTAACAATTCATAAGTCATTGCACAAAGAGGCCAAGAAAATTTTTGGTGATCAAGAAAAAGAATTCACAAAATCACTGTTCTTCTATTGGTTCAGCAATCATCCTCATTTCTGAATCTTCCACAGAGCTTTCCACAGAATAGGCACCCAAAGCTTCATTGACTGGAACTTGAGTCTCTGATGTCTCTGGCACTTTATACAGAAAGGACCCAAAGTAAATAATGCACTCTCTCACTCTTTCCACCCCCCCCATTCCACCTTGCTCACTGTGATACCTTATATCTTATATGAATTACTACCAGTAATTAATCCATGACCTTCATCTCAGAGAAATCAGTTAAGAAATTATTATATTACCTATAACTTTCTTATTAGTCATTAGCCAGGAACATTAAGGAGATTAATTATAAAAAGCTTACAAGTCACAAACGTTATTTCTTAAAAGGCTGTATCTCCTCCTGGAACTGAAAATACAAATGCAATGGGTTTGCTGTGTTAATAAGTGTTAATGTGTACAATACCCACTGGTAACAATGAAATAGGGGAACCAGTATTATCTTTTATTCATGGTAAACATAAACTGGTAAAGGCCTTTGAGAGAAAAATTAGGCAGTATTAGACTATTTTAAGTACACATATGCTTTGAGCCAGCAATTCTACTTCTAGGCATCCACACGAGAAATACTTATATGAACAAAGAAGTAATGCTACACTGCAATACTGTAAAAGCAAAAAATAAAAAACACAAAAATATATCAGTAAAGCATGATTAGCAATACTATGGAATACTATACAAAGTTGAAAATGAGGGAGAAGTAGATCTACATGCTGACAAGTAAAAAAACAGCAAGTTGTAGAATAACATGTACAGTAAGTGTGCATAAAGGGGTAAGCAAAAGTGGGTTTACAGTTGTTCGTAAGGAAAAAGACATGCAGCTTATGACCACAATAGCTTTACTAACTCAAAGGAATGTCACAGTGGCACAATGCACTTGGGCACAATGTTGTAAGTGCTCAAACTGCCAGCCTTTATTATTTATACATTCTTGTTGTCTACTTGCTATACTCAAGCACACTTTGGCATGGAGTTCTTATCTACTTTTGCCCACCCTGTATTATAAAGTCTAATTATTTTTTAAATACTAATGCAGTAATGCATGGTTCAAAATTCAAAAGGAAGTTGAAAAGGGTTATAAATGTGAAGTTTCTTTCTCCAGTCTCAAATGACCCATACCCCTTCCCCAGGCCCAACATATCAATTCATTGCTTATTCTTGAATTTTCTATGCAGTGCCTATTTTTCTTTGAGACTAGTGTTTAGAAGTTATAACACCGAAGGAGGGAGCTTTGGAACAGCCAGCACTCACCACTGGAATGCTGGCATCAAGGAGACTAAGGAGCACAAAGGGGTTTTTTAAAAAATGCTTTTCCCCCTTTAACCTTTGTGTTATAATTAAGTGTTTAATACCCTATTCTGAAAAGGAGTTGGAATTTCCTGCTTCTGTTTGTCATCTTAACTCAAAATTTTGTATACTTGTTTTTTTTGTTTCATGTCGAAGAGCTCCTTTCATTTCTTGTAATGCCTGTCTTGCAGTGATAAATTCTCCCAGTTTTTGTTTGTCTGGAAAAGCCTTTATTTCTCCCTCATATCTAAAGGAACAAAAATCTGGAACACCTCACGAAATTTGAGTGTTGTCCTTGAGCAGGAGCCATGCTAATCCTCTCTGTACTGTTCCAGTTTTAGTATACAGGGTGAGGCAAAAGTAGGTTTACAGGTGTGAGTCCATGAAACTGTTTATTTTTATACTATCATTTATTAATTATTGTATTATTTTCCATACTAACAACTGTAAACCTACTTTTGCCCCACCCTGTATATAATATTTAAATACACAGAAATGAGTCCTGAAGGATAACCACCAAGTTGCTAACAGAGGTACCTTCTATAGAAGGCAGAGCAATTGGGGAGTTAGGAAGAGGGAAGAGGTTAAAGGGCATTTTACATGATATCATTTGAATGTTTCGAGATTTATTCATGTACTTGTGTTTTGGTTTTTCAGACACTAATGACAGTTTCTTACCCAATCCTTGAAAAGGAACTAGGAAAATCCCATATTCTTTAAATGGAAAAGTTACAGGAATGGCAATCAGAGGTGCTGATTCTGCTAAAAATGATCAGCTACAGCCTTTAGATGAGTCATTCACCTCTTAGTCTTGGTTTTCTCATTCGTGAACTAAGTAGCTGGGAATGATTTCCTTTCCAATGTTCCATCCAGCTCAGAATTCTAAGATATGTAGAAGGATAACTCCTAGTGAAGTCATAAATAACCTCAAAAAGGCCACCAACTTTCAGATCTTAAGCTAATATTTAACATAATCAATATTGCCTACAGAAGCCTCGGAAAACTACAAAAGGCAATTCACATTTTAGATGTTTCCTGAAAGTTTATTTCAACATTCAAAATTTATATTTGTTCTGATAATCAGCTGTCTGATTGTCCTTAAAGAGAAAGATCAACTCTCTCCCATAGGAGGACACAATGAGCTCTAAACCATTGAGTTCAAATTATCAAATTCAGGTCCTATTGTTGATGTAATCAAAGCAATTGAAATCTCATTTAAAGAGTAAACATTCTTAAAGAAATGTGGACTATTCTCCTAAGATTTTTTTAGTTGTAGATACCCACCACTGAACACAAAAAGTACCATATCCTGAAAATGCAGAGGACACATAAACCTCTGACCTCTCTGTGTTCAACAACTTTGCATTTTTTAATATTAGGAAAAAAATCTGATGACTCAATAAAAAGCTATTTATTCAGTATGCTAAGGACTGTGCTGCTCCAGAAAGTACAAATTTATATGAAAATCAGGGTTTTCAATACTTCTGTACATAAATAATATCTTAAAATTTTGTCCAGTCATCTACCTGCCTCCCCCAAGATTCTTTTTCCAAAAAGCATTTTGTTTTTTGGAGGATAAATAACAATGGTTAAAACTATATTAGATGTAAATGGAATTAAACTCAAAAGCTCAGGAAAAACCCTTCCAAAGATAAAAAATATTTAAGAAGAAAATATACTTGCTGATAGCTAAATGATAGATCTCAGAAAACACATACCCATTTGCTTTCTTCCACTAGGTTGTCTACCAACATTTGGATGTGGAGGCTGAAGTGAAGATCCTTTCAGAAATGTATTTTGGATGCCATCCTTAATTCCATGCAAGAAGTGAGCTAAAATCCCATATAAAAGAGGTCTATGGCAGGAAGAAAAACAAAAGCAATTAAATTTGCATAAATAGGAAAAGCTTAAAATATCTGTGTTTTAAAAGGTGGCCTCTGATACCAAAATAGCCAAGCAATTCACTAGATTTAAAATTTAAGAGTACTGTCCTGGCTGGTGTGGCTCAGTGCATTGAGCACTGGCCTGCAAACTAAAGGGTTGCTGGTTCGATTCCCAGCAGAGGCACATGCCTGGGTTGCAGACCAGGTCCCCAGCTGGGGGTGTGTAAGAGGCAGCAGTCAATGTTTTTCTCCCTCCCTTTCCCACTCTCTAAAAATAAATACAATCTTAAAAAAGAATTTAAGAGCACTGTTTAACTCTCAAGACCATTTTAAAACTCAGAGAAAAAAATAACAACTTAAACTTCATCTGACTATAATAAGATTTCAATCAATACACAGGAATTCCACTTTAAAGCTCCAAAGCCTAAAATAAAATTTCTCAGTACCTAATATTGTCTGATACCCAACAGGTATTCAATAAGCACTTATGGTGTTAATAAATCCTTGCCTAGAGAAGGTCTTATATCCCAAAAGACTCACTGCCTGGTTCAAATCTTGACTTTGCCACTTGACCTCAGCAAGATTCTTAGTGTCCCCAGCCTATGTCATAAATGTTTCCTCCTCTATAATTGAGGGTAATTATAGTCCCTGCCTCAGAGAGTTGTTATGGACTAAATGCGTTAATAAAAGTCAAGTGTTTGGAACTGTGCCTAGCATATATTAAATGGTATGTAGCTCTATAGGAGTTGGGTAAGAATATTTTAAAAGCTATTTTATAGCTACAAAACATTTTTGCCTCTTCAGTTTATCCTCACCTTGTGGTGTCATAATCATCATCCTGAATTTAAAAATGAGAAAACCACAGCTCAAAGAGAATCTGCTCAAGATTCCCTTAGTAAGTAAATTGTGTACTTGAACCCCAAGTCCCATATTCTTTCCTTTATAACACACTGCCTGGGGTTTATATTGTACCCTTGCACGAAGAGACGTTGCTTTACTGACAATAAAGAGAGGTACAACAGAAATGTTTTCCTTCACTTCCAACCTCATAATTGAGAATCCAATTTAATAAATTGATGTTTTTTGAGATATCGATTTACTAACTAGCAGGTAAAATAGTTTAAATTATGACATTCCTTTCCCTTTGAAAGGTGGGAATTCACATTTTATTTAGAAGTTTCCTAAGTTTATTTCAACATTCAAAATTTATATTTGTTCTGATAATCAGTTGGTGCCTAATTGCCCTCCCCTTGAGTGTGGGCTGCACTCACCTGTAATGAATCAAGGAAGACGTTTAAGTAAAGCACTGTGCAACTTCAGAGACTAGGCCATTACAGCACTGTGTGAGTCACCCAGCATGGAGGTATCATTAAAGGCTCAAGAATACTTAGAAAAATGGGCAAGGGGACAAGAAGAAAAGGACAAAACTCTGGGCGTGCCCACAATTTACAGGAACCCCACAGGAGCCAATGAAGAAACCGAGCCCTGAGCAGTGTAGCTCAGTTGGCTGGGTGTTTTCTCTCTAAGGCTGCCAGTTTGATTCCTGGTCAGGGTACATGCCTAGGTTGCAGGTTCCGTCCCTGGTCTGGATGCATGTGAGAGGCAACCTATCAATGTCTCTCTCTCCCTTTCTTCCTCCCTCCCCCTCTCTCTAAAAAATAAGTAAATAAAATTTAAAAAAGAAACTGAGAACACCATTAGGGAGACAAGAAAATCAAGACAGTAAAAGGTCACAAAAGAGAAGTGACAAAAAATGTTTTAAGAAAGAGTGCAGTCATTATTATAAAATGCTGGAGAAACTCAAACTGAGCTTCTCAACTTGGAAATATAGGGGGTCCAGCACAAATAATGCCCCTCATTTATTACATAAAAATCTTTTATTACAAAATCATAAGCAGGTAATTCTGTAATATAACTATATCATACTCAAGCATACCATATGACGTTTTAGGTGAAGTGCTCAAATTAAAACTATACACCCATATTATTACCCTACCAATCACACTCAAGAAAGCCTTACTTCTATTGGATCTTGTATATACATTCCCATTCTTGGTGCTAGAGACTTGGTACAAACTACAGGAAAAAGGTGGCATATGATCCTGGAATAATTTCACACAAAAATTTATAAACTGTAAAGTAGCTTTTTAACTGGTATGTCATTTAAAACATTTTAATGGTAAAACAACTACACCATGAAGTAGAATGAAAAAAAATTCAGACTTTTTTCAAAGAGAAAACAAGAAATTTCTTGCTAGGAAAAGACTATCTTTGAGCTATATTCCCAGGTGCCTATATACAAATTTTTTTTGCGGGGGCAGGGGGTATGTAGGGATCCTCTGGAAAAAGTTTAAGAAACATTGAAGTAGGAAAAGCACTAAGAAATTATTAGAAAGTGGTTACTCTTCTTTTTAAGGGTATAGTTTTTTGTAAACAGTGAGGGGAGAATTTAAGATACAGGGAGGATCACAGAGCGGGCAATAAAATAAAAGGAGAAGGTTGATTTTCCGTAGGTTCAGTGGTAAAAAGGAGATTGAGCAGTAGGCTGGGGTTGGAAGTTGACCGGGTTTTTTTTTTTTTTTAAGAGAAGAGAGATCTGAGTACATTTCTAAGTTGTGAAGGAAGTAGTAGGGAGGAAGAGTTAAATCTGAGGACAAAAATAGCTGATAAAGCAAAAGCATCAGGGAAAAAAAAGGATGGATCGAGAAGCAAAGAGTGACCCTTGGAAAGAGGTAGGGCTGTTCACTCCTCTGGAACCACAGGAATTTTAGCTCCAGAGGACAGAGACTTGACCTGACTCAGTTACTGCTGGTACCTTGGATTTGGTGCAGTGCTAGACACACACTAGACCCAACTACATACCTGCTGGATTAAAATAAAATAAAACCACCACTATAAGACTGTGACTCCAAAACAACAATATCTGAGAGTTTATTTTTAAAATATTCTTACATTGTATTATCCTTTGATTCTTCAAATGCGTTCAGTTCACGGATGAGAAATTGCCTGTCCAATGGAACTACAGGTTGACCAGATTCTGTGGGAAAAATAATAATGAAAATTCTGCATCTTTATGAATCTTGAAAGCAAATACGGGCCCTGACAGGGCAACTCAGTCAGTTAGAATGTCGTCCCAACACACCACAGTTGCAGGTCTGATCCCTGGTCAGGCCACATACAAAAATCAATCAATGAATGCATAAATAAGTGGAACAACAAATTAATGTTTTTTTTTCCTCTCTCTCTCCCCTCCTCTGTCTTAAAAAAATCAGTAAGTAAAATTTAAAAATAAAAAGCAAGTATGATTTTGGTAAGAAACACAACAGATATACACATTTTTCAGATTTGGAAAATAATGATGGCAGATCCAATTTAAGATTATATGACTTCCAAAATATTTTGTTAAATATATAACTTAATACAATTCAACATAAATTCATTTTTAACTAATTCTTGATTAGGAAAATACTGTTTCCGCATTTAAACTACAATACTAGGTTTCATAAATCTATTTCTGAGAAGCCTGTGAACTAAACACATGACAGCACCAATACCCATTTTAGGATTAAATATCCATTTAATTCTAAAAATAAAATTAACCCGAATATTAAATGCTGGCAAAGAAACAGGGCAACTGGAAATCTCATACTTTGCTGGTAGTAGAGCAAAAATGGTACAGCCACTTTGAAAAAACAGTTGAGCTGTTTCTTATCCAAGTAAGCAATACTTAAAACACACAACCCTGTAATCCCAGTCTTAGCTCTTTACCAAGAGAAATTAAAACATATCTTCACACAAAAACCTTTGGTGAATGTTTATGACAATTTGATTCATAACTGTGAAAACTAGAAACAACCCAAATGTCTGTCAACTGACACAATGGAACACTATACAGGGAGGGAAAAAAATCAACATGACTGCTAAGAGGAAAGACATTGACTCAAGTCAACATCCTATATGGTTCCATTTATAGGACAATCTAGAAAAGGCAAACGATAGGCACAGGTAAGAACAAATCAGTGGCTGCTAGGGGTGAAGGGCAGGCAAAGAAGCTGACAACAAAGGGGCACAGAAAAGTGTGTGTGGGGGCGTGTGATGGAAATGTTCTATATTGCAACTGTGGTGGTAGTTACACAAACAATGCACTTGGCAAAATCCATAGAACTTTATACTAAAAAAGTAAAATTTATTGGATGTTACTTATACCTCAGATTTTTTTTTAAAAAAGCCAAGGCATTTAACATGAAACTTGACTATTGTCACTATATTTCATTCTAGGGGAGCTCAAGCCCAAGATAACTAATTAATGACATTTTCATAATCTCCTTCTTTTCTGAGTATTAATGGTATTATGTAGATATCTATAACAAATGGAGGAAAGTAGAGATATTGAGATTAAAGATTCTTAAACCAATGAAAATCATCAGTCTTTATTCAGTTAAGATATATACTTAATGTTAAATAAAGGATCTGTAATGGAAAGTTCTGGCATCGATGAATTCATTCTCTCTTTCAAAATCTACATCGGGATTTCTTTTCTTTGATCAGGCACATCTCCAAGACATGAAATGGTTTTAAACCACAAATTAAAACTTAAAACGAGGAAATCAAAGGATGTACAGGATAGGGAAAAAGTAGGCTTACAGTTGTTCACATGGAAAATAATACAATAATTAGTAAATAATAATACAAGAACAAACTCTGTTGCCCTGGCCACCTGGCTCAGTTGGTTGGAGCATGATTCCATACACTAAAACCTTGCAGGTTCTACTTGGTCAGGGTGCTTATGGGAAGCAACTGATCGATGTTCCTCTCTCCCTTCCTCTCTCTCTAAAATCAATAACCTCGGCTGGTATGATTCAGTTGGTTGGGCAGTGTCCAGCAACCCAAAAGTTTGCCAGTTTAATTCCTACTCAGGGCACATGCCTGAGTGTCAGGTTCAACCCCCAGTCAGAGTACTTTACAGAAGGCAGCTAATTAATGTTTCTTCGATGTTTCTTCACTTTGATGTTTCTTTACCTCTCTTTTGCTTCTCTTTCCCTCTAAGATCAAAAAAATTTTTAAATTGTTTTAATTAATTTATTGTTTTAATAAATAAATTAATTAATAAATTAATAAATTAATTGTTTTAATGAATAAATATATCCTTGGGTGAGGATTTTAAAAAATGTATTAAATAAGAATAAACTTTCACATAGTTCACAACTGTAAACCTACTTTTGCCCCACCCTGTAAGAGAGGGGACCCCCCAAAAAACCAGAATTATCTTCTGGAGGACAGGTAGGCCTCCCTTGCTAGGAACCCACCTGTATCAGTGTACCAACTGGTGTTGTTGTGAGAGGCTGCATTTGGCTTTAGTGAAATTTTTTTTTGAACACTCAACACGTTTGCCCATTTCATGATAAGTGATTTATGAGTCTACCTGCCCACACTGCTGAGTATTCAGCAGTTTTTGACCAAAAACAGCATGATCCCTGTGACCCACCCTCCCTATTCACCTAATCACCCCTTGAGAGAGGTTTTTTTTGTTGTTTCCCCAGATGAAAAAGTTCCTCAAAGAGAAATGTTTTGCCAATGTGGAAAGAAGTAAAACAAAAGACATCAGGAGTACTAAAAAGCCTCAAAATTGATGAGTTCAAAATGTATCACATGGAGAGTAATTTGAAGGTAACTGAAGTTTAAACATTTAAGAATACACAATTTTTTATAAATAAATTCCAGGGGTTTTTTTGATCCCCTTCAATATTCAAGGTGCTTTTGATCATCTTCCCAATCTCATTTCTACCCCCAGCCCAGAAGTAAAGCTTACCTTGACTACTGGATATCCTTCCAGTTTTCTTACTTTCTTTCTTAAGAAATAAAATTTAACAGATAAAGTTATCTTTAACTCCCCACCCCCAATACCATTTCTCTCTCTCATCATGAGAATGAATTTGCAGTTTACCTTCCTAAACCTTTTTAAATTAAAAACCATGATTTTACATACATTTGTACATATCCCTAACCAATATACAGTAGTAATATTTTGAGGTTTTATCTCCAATGTTTTATATTTTTAAATAAAGAATATGTGCGCATGTTTTATATACACATTAAATGGGTATTTTTAAAGCATATCCATAGGAGAAAAGACTGGCAGCAAATAAGATAAAATATAAACAATTATTTATTCTCAGTATCAAATTATGTATGATTTTTCAAAGTATACAGCTAGTATAAGTGCTTATTTAGTTATTCATTTTCCCCTACAATACAAGCCTCATGAGAACTTGTTTAAGGAATGGAAAGAGCCTGTGTGATTTCTATGTTCCAGTTACTCAAGTGACACTGTTTCATAATGGAATTAGATTTCCAAGCTAAATATTTTCTTTATTGGTGGAAGGGAAGAAGCAGATTTTGTCTCAGATGACTAACAATAACCTCTTACCTGCTATGAGGACAGACGCTGTATACTTATATTTGTTGAATTCCAAATACTCCCGAATTAATTCATTAATAAGAAGGTTTTCATGAGACAATGTTGGTCGGGGTTCATTTTCATCATCTAGGGCATTGAAAACTTCGGCTCGAATTCTCGCTTTTAAATGCCCTAAGACTCCCCTTTTTTCCAAGGTATCCTTTAAAACTGTTAAATATAAAACATTAATGCTTCAATTGTAGAAAAAATTGTCATTTCTAGATTTACTTGAAAGAAAAGGGTTTAAAAGGTCAAGGTCCTAACAGCAGCTTTCAATCTAAACACTGCGATGAGCTGAACAATTATCACATTAGCTATCGCAAGCCATGCTTGTAAAAAGAATAAAGTTCCCAAGTTATAATGATTTACTATTTTAATATATTTAAGCAAATTCAAGTTTCCTTCCAACATCATCACTGACACAGGCTCCAGTCTGATACACATTCTTCAATGAGGAAAAAAGGGGGGACAGAACTACAGTCAGCATACTGGGACCTCAACTTAACCCCCAGTGTCTCATATATTTTCCAGAGTGTTTGTCGCTGCAGACAGGCTCTGTATCACTAAAACCCTTTGGTCTAGAAAGATGACTAAAGACTACAAGTACACTCTAAAAGGAAGGATGTGTCCTGTATTTTACATAAAAACCTTTGATATATAGAACTCTTGGGGAATGGCCCATTCTGAATGAAAAGGTGGGGTTTTTTAAAAATTGTATTTATTTACTGTTTAGAGAGAGGGGAAGGGAGAGGGAGAGAAACATCAATGTATGAGAGAAACATTGATCGGTTGCCTCTCACATGTCCCCTACTGGGGACCTGGCCCACAACCCAGGCATGTGTCCTGACTGGGAATGGAACCAGTGACCTTTTGGTACACAGGCTGGCACTCAATCCACTGAGCCACACCAGCCAGGGCTGTTTTTGTTTTTTAAGAACAATTATGAGTTAATTCCCCAAAACAATAGGAGTTTGAAATTTTAAGCCTAGTTAGGAATCTAACCCAGAGTATATCATAGCCATCTTAAGAAATTGGGGATATGTATGCTGAATGTAACCTAACTTAATAGGCAAGGGTTGTTATTACAACTATCAGTAGTTGTGATAATGAGATTAACAATGAATACTAGTAAGGAGAGTACAGGCACAGGGCTGAATTGGCACCATCCCTTGCAGGGGTATGGAACCTTCTTTTTTCAAATTGTCCCTAATGGCTAAATAACAAATCCAGAGAATCAACACATTTCACCCTTAGTGCCTAGGACACAGTAAGAGCTCAATAAATGCTGCCTAGGAGTATTATAATATAGTGCTGCATACTACTGGGTGTAATATAGTTGAATAATGTGCTATCCCCTGTCAAAGGCACCAGATAAGTACACAGTAATGAAAATTCATAAAGGGAGCTGAGGAACATAAATATTTTTAAGCTTTGATAAATAACAACAAAAACCTGGTCATACAATTAAAGAGATCTAGATAGACTCTAACCTTTCTTACCCCTTATTTTAAAATCATTACCTCAAACTTCCTGCAGGTACGTTAAGTACATAGTTACCACCATATCAGACTTTGTAACAGGCTCATAAAAGAAAGGTACAACCTTACCATATTCTTGGGATCATAACTGAAAGAAACCCTGTTCTCTAATTCCATCTTTTGAAATTACATGGAAATACTTTTTTCCCCACTGGCAAAGATCTAGTCCCAATTACTCTGTATTTACAGAACACAGCCTCCAAGTCAGCAGAGAAGTGACTTTAATGAAGCTGGACTTAAGAAACCTAGCACATCTCATCACCACCCCAGAGGTAGATCACCAACTTGGGCCCCGGTGGTCTTCTCCAACATGACTTCTACCTCTCAGAGACAGGACAAAGGAAAGTGGGAAAACGTGAAAGTGCTTTAAAAAGGTAAATGCTCATAAAACATTTTCATTGGGTTTCTCTTGAACACAAAGCCTTCCCCAAGTTCTAGGGTTCTGTATTATGCTGCCCTCCTCTCTATCACTGTGCTTAAAACACTGTAACATAACAACTTCAGAAAGAGGTTCTTAATCTGGCTTATATCCCTAAGTCTCCAAGTCCTCTCAAGTTGTATCCAATACCATGTGTGACATGTTTCCTAGGGAGAGGGTTCTTCAGTTCATGCGAAGTCTGTTCTTGTGGATAACGGCGTGCCATTTTTCTGACTGTTCACTAGCCCAGGGCTACAAGCCTACATTTATATCAGTGGTTCAATTCAAAGACACTCAACCCCTCCCAGCCAAATCTCTATGACTGTCCGACTTAGGCCCCACCTTCCCTGAAAACTGGAACTGGTTTTTAACGGAGCAGCAGTATCACCCAGTGATTAAGACTTGAGCTCTGGTGCAGCGTTATCTAGTTCTCACACTCTGCCTCTTTACAGCTGGAGCACTTGGGGTGAGCTACTTCACCTCTCAGCACCTCAATTCCCTAACCTACGTAATGGGCATAGGGTGGTTACATGCAATCAATTAGATAGCAGAGGGGCTGGGCAGTACCTGACGTATAAAGTTCGGTCACTGATAACTATCATTATTATTACTACCTGTCTGGACATCTGCGTCCAAACTAACGGTGTACAAATATCAGCTTAAGGGCTCTCATTTTGTGGGACTTTTCCGAAAAAGACAGAATGGCCAGGCCAAGCCAGGCAACTTTCTACCTCTAGTTTTCCCGATGGAAAATCGGGAACTACCTCCCAGGTTGTAAGGATGTAGTGGGAGACACAACCAAATGGCTCAGGATTGTGCCCAACACCAAAAATGGTTGTGGATGCTGTAAATATCAGCCCTGCGTGAAAGATCTTGGCCAAGGCTTCGGCTTCAGTCAAGGTCTAGAAAAATGCGTCAGAAGACCAAGGTGCAGGACTGCGGACCTCTCAGGTACCTGCAGGTCGTGCGACTCCTGCTCCAACACCAAAACGGTTAAACATTTGTCCTGTGAAACGCCTTCCCTCACAGGGCCCTGGCACCGCGGCTCCGCAGGCCCCGGCGCCACAGAGCGACCACCCGGCAAAGCTGACTACTGCTCCGCTCGTCCTCCTTTCGTCCCATCCTTTTCACAGGCTGCAGACCAGATGCATCCTACCTGGCAAGCCTCCCATTCTCACTCACCAGCCTTCAGGTCGCTGACAGTCGCCATTTTTAACGGCCGCCAGGGGCGCGCCTCCACCTCGCGCACGCGCGGCCCGCTTGGCGGCGTGGCCTGTAGCCAATAAACACACAGCTCTCGCCCCGCCCAGTCCCGCCCCTCTCTGTCTACGCGCTCCGGGGGGTGCGTGGGTGGGGATCCCCAACAATCCTCGAACGCCCTAGGCGGTCCCTGAAGAGGGAGGAGGAGCGGGGACTGAGGCATGTCGCAGCCTTTACCTGTGGGTGCCGCTGGCACGTTAGTGCTTCGCTTTATTAGCTCAGTAAGCTTTTCGTGATCAACTGCTGCTGGGCTCTGCACTCTGGAGTACTAATTGTTACTCGTTACCATATATTAAGCCTGAGGTTCTCAAGCTTGAGCACGCATCAAAAACATCAGGAAGACTTGTTAAAACAGATAACCCTGGAGTAAATTCTGATTCAGTGAATCCGGGGGGGGGGGGGATCCAAGTGACGCTGATGCTGCCGCTCTGGGGATCACACCTTGAGAACCGCTCTAATGAGTACTTACTCTGAGCCTGACACTGTTAAATGCTTTACACAGGTTAGTTCATTGATTTTTCTAGTATTACTCCCATTTCACACAGGAGAAAACGGAATCTTTGATGACTGCCGAGACTTCACCAAAATCACCAGCAAATGGTGGTGGCGAGGTTTGAATTCAGGCCTCTTCTCTTCAATGCCTGTTTTCTACCACCACTGTTAGTAGTACTAGGAAATACATAAGGAGTCCAAGAGCTATTTGTGAAAGTAATTTAAAAAAAAAGGCTTTTTTAAAAAAAATTTTAACTTTTAAAAAAATTGATTTGAGGGAGAGAGAGAGAGAAACATCCATTTGTTGTCCCACTTATTCATACATTTATTGGTTGATTCTTGCATGTGCCCTGACCAGGGCTGAACCCACAACCTTGGTGTTATCAGGATAATGCTCTAACCAACTGAGCTACCCGGCCAAGGCCTATTTGTGAAAATCGCTGATGAATGTGTAAGCTCCAGCAGCTGAAGGTAGTTAAGACAAAGGAACATGGGAAGAGTGCCCCCAAAACTGAGTGTGTCTGTGATTCCAGTTGTGTTGCCAGGAAGGCCAGTATCAATGACTTCAATCCTAGAACAGTGCTCTTTAAACTGCTGGTCTTAACCCAATAGTAGCTTCTGAAATCTATTAATTAGTGGATTCCAATGAGCATATTTTTAATGAAATGTAATGGAATTAATAGAAAACAGTGTTTTTTCAAACTTTTGTTTGGGTTATATATGTGTATTTTGATTTGTGGTGTACTTCTTCAAGTGCGTACTAGTCAAAAAGTTTGAAAACTATTTTAAAGTAGAAGAATCCATTCCTGTTCCATACTAGGTTAATTTTGACCTGGGACACAGATCTGCCATTACATTAGTAAGATCCTTCCTTGTTCTTTAAAATCCACAAGGCCTAACTTCCTGGCCAGCCTCTACAGAGATTTAAAAGGATTAACTACATTCCACAGGGCAAAATGAGCTCTTCAGAGAAAAGCATTCCTGCATATACTGATGAGGAACTCAGGAGAGAGGGAGGGAGGGAGAGAGAGACACGGGAAATAAAAATGGGATTGATTAGTAGTGGCAATCATCCAATAACTAACAGTCATTACCACTCTGTGTGTGGCAGGCACTGCTCTAAAAGCTTTACTTTAAGTCCTCATCAACAACCCTATGAGGCAGATACTCACACAGCAATCATCTAAAGTAAAATTTTATCTAGAACCACGTTCTGAAATTGGGTAATACACTGTGTTGGTGAGGATGTGGGGAAACACGTATTACCATTCCCACTGGTAGGAGGGTAAATCAGCCCCACCTTCTCAGAAGGCTGTTTGGCAATACCTATTCAACTTTCCACACCCTTTGATCCATGAATTCTGGTTTTAAGAATGTATATTACAGATATATTCACACCTAGTTATGAAGGATATGTCTATAAGAGTATTCACTGTAGCACTGTGTATGGTAGGAAAGCCTATCTAGGTCAGAATGGCTGAAGTGAAAACAACTGACAGTGAGACCCGATGCTGGGGAATGCTTGTAGCTTGCTGGTGGGAAAACAAAGTAGTATTAGTCACTTTGAAAATCAGTTTTGCAACTGCTTATTAAGTCAAACATGTACTTAGCATACAACCTAGAAATCCCACTCCAAGGTGTTTACACAAGAGAAATAAAAACTTATGTCCATACAAAAGGCAGTATGCAGTAATAACAGATTTATTCATAATTACCACAACTGGAAATGATCCATTGTTTTCCACTTGGTGAACGGTTATAAACTAGCTCTGGTGTACAAGGGAGGACCCCAAAAACACAGAATTAATTTATTAAAAATGGTGGATGTATTTATTTTTTGTATATTGATTTTAGAGAGAGAGGGAGAGAAACATCGATTTATTGTTCCATTAATTTACATATTCATTGGCTGATTCTTGTGTGTGCCCTGACTGGGAATTGAACCCACAACCTTGGCATATCAAGACAACCCTCCAACCATTTGGGCTACTTGGCCAGGGCAAGAAATTGTGTATGTATTCTTACATGTTTCAACTTAAGTCACCTTCAAAGTAGGTGACTCTCCATTTGATGCACTACACCTATCAAGATACTTTTTCCACTGCTCAAAACAGTTTTGGAACTGATTGATTTTGATACTTTTAGTGCTTCTGCTGTTTTTTGTTTCACCTCTTCCACATTGGCAAAACATTTCCCTTCGAGGAATTTTTTTTCATCTAGGGAAACAAACATAAAAAATGTCGCTTATGGTGAGATCTGGTGAATAGGGAGGGTGGGGCATGAGGGTCAGGCCATTTTTGGTCAAAAACTGCTGAGCACTCAGTACAGTGTAGATAGGTGCACTCATAAGTCACTCATCATGGGCAAATGCGTTGAAAGAATCTTCATGAAAAATTCACTGAAGCCTCTCACAACTATGCCAGCTGGTACACTGATACAGATGGGTTTCTAGAACACGCACCTAGTGGGGGAAGCCTGTAGTACAAGGGGCCTGTCCTCCAGGAGATAATTCTAGTTTTTTTGGAGGGGGTCCCCCTTTATATGTACCAAGAAATATCAATCAGTAATAAAAAGGAAGCAACCACGAATGCAACAAAATGGATGAATCGCAAATGTGTTGTGTTAGTGAAAGAAACAAGACGTACCTTGGCCTGTGTGGCTCAGTTGGTTGGGCATTGTCCCGCAGGGTGGGGCAAAGGTTGCTGGTTCGGTTCCTGGTTGGGGCACATGCCTGGGTTGTGGTTTTGGTCCCAGGTCAAGGCCTGTAAGAAAAGACAGCCCTGGCCTGTATAGCTCAGTTGGTTCCATTCCTGGTCAGGGCACATACCCAGGTTACAGGTTCAATTCTCAGTCAGTCAGGGCATGTATGAGACGGCAGCTAGTCAATGTTTCTCTCTCACATTGATGTTCTCCCCACCCCCCAAAAAAGAAAGCAATGAAGAATGTCCTCGGATGAGGATTAAAAAAATAAAACCCAATAATTTTTAAAAAAGAAAAAGCAACCAATTGATGTCTCTCTCTTACATCAATGTTTCTCTCTCAGAAAAAGAAAGGAAAAAAGAAGACTTAAAGGCTACATCCTATATGATTCAATTTATGTGACATTTTGGAAAAGGCAAAGTATAAGGACTAAAAGCAGACCAATGATTGCCAAGCTCAGGATGAATGAAGGGAGCTGACTACAAAGGTTCACTAGAGAGAATTTTCTTTTAATTCTCACCCAAGGATATGCTTAGAGAGAGGAAAGGAGAGAGAGATGGAGAGAAACATCCATGTAAGAGAAACATCAATCAGTTGCCTCCCATACACGCCCCCACTAGTGATCCCAAAATCTCGGTATGTGCTCTGACCATGAATCAAACCTGCAACCTTTTGGTGTATGGGACGATGCTCCAACCAACTGAGCCACCAGGCCAGGGTGAGAGAGACATTTTTGGAGTGATGGAACTGTTCTATATCTTGGCTGTGACTACACGATTGTATATTTCCCACAATTGATAGAGTTGTACACTTAGGGGGTAAACTTTACTGCATGTATACTTCAATCAGTTTGACTTTTAAAAAATTATTGGAAATACCAATATCATCAGTAGAAGAGACTGGTTAAGTATATTAAAGTAGAGCCATAAATGAAATATTACATGGCCATTACAAAGAAGAAGGAGTTCTAAATACATATATGTAATTATCAGCAAGATGCATATGAGGCAGAAGACAGCATAGGAAGAACTCTTAGACTGCGCTGCTATTACTGGCCAGCGTCCAGCATCCTGGTTGCCAGGAAACACCTTTTTAGCACTTAGGTAGAATGAATAGTAAACTGATGCAGGGAGAAGGAGGGAGACATGTCTTGCATGCTAACTCAGCAGTCCTGACCTTGGTCCTACAATATTGCCAGGTGTTCCAACATCACAAGAAACACTACATTAGCAAGGAAGGAGGGAAGTCCTTGAAATTCTATGTAGCATTTCCACTATCTGGGAAAGAAAGCCTTGAAACTGTGTTTTTATTTCAAGACTGTGGGAGAGGGTCCACAGTGCACAAAGAAGCTCATATAAAAACTCTGGTCACTATCTGTTTTAGGAGGAAGTCCCTAATGCTTACAAAAAAGCCCATAAAAAACTTTGGGAAAGTACCCCAATTTTAGTTAACTGTCTTCTGTCACATATTTGTTTTATTGGTTGAACAAATAGTCTGGAGCAAGATAAGGATTTAGGCTAACAGACCCCCACACATATCCACGCTTGGGTAGTCACACACATCCCCAGGAAAGCTGGCACCACACTTACCTGTTAATCAGTATGTACCTTTTTTCTCCTAACCCACCAACTTTATAAGTCCTCAGAAGAAAGGACTCACTCTCTCTGGGGGGCTCAGAAGCGCTCGGGTTGCTATTGGCACCCTTGGCTCTCTGGCTATCAGGCCTCAGGCCACCTGGGGGCTTGCCACCCTGGTTTTCAGTCACTCTTACTTTTGCTGCCCTGATTTGCCCTGAACCTTTGCTCTTCACCCCCCTACTCTAGCTAGTCC